AAATTTGTTATCCGATGACATTAAAGAAGTTATATATGTCAATAATTAGGTACGTATGAGGTTCCCTTAATTTCTTCCAAGATTGCGTTCTTTATTTATATATATATATATATTAAATCTCTTCCTAATTTATTGAAAATTTAAATTTAAGATCTTTAAATTAAAAATATCAAATTTAATTTTAACTAATTAAGTCTCCTTGAAACTTCTTTTTTTCTTTTTCTTTTTTTAAACAAAAACATACGTAACTACAAAAACATTAATTTTACAAAAGTTTTAAAATTTTATTTTTTGCTTAAAAAATTTTAAATACTTTTTACTTATTTTTTTAATTGTCTATAAATTTTACACTTGTATTTGAAATTTTGAGATATCGCCCTTATCTTCAAAAATTTGTAAATGGAAGACTGACTTCACGTCAACGAATTGTTGTTTTTCTTCCTTGACTGTGCGTTTCTTTAGCTAATTTTCATTTTCCTTTTGATCTTGATATATAAAATCATTCTAAAGCAGATCTAAATGATCTTACTGCATATGAAGAGAATCTCAAAGCCAGATCGAGTGGAAGCAATCAACTACACATGCTTAGTTACAAACTCTGAAAGTATTTACTTCCACCTACCTATCTACGTACCTTCTTCTTCTTTTGCCTTTGTTTTCTTTTTTGATTTTGTAGTATTGGTTATAATAGAAGTCTACAACTTATGATCTGTGCTTGCACACCCTTCTCCAGATATTGCATCATCTTGGTGAAATCCATATTCTACTCCAAAGAGTCTAGAGATTTACATCACACCCTTCTCCAGATATTGCATGATCTTGGTGAAATCTATACTCTACTCCAAAGAGTATAGATTTACATTAATTATTCTCAAACAGTCAGTGGAATTTGCTATCTGACATTGAAGAAGTTATATATCTCAACTAAGGTATGTAAGACTTTCCATTTCTTCCCAGATTGCATTCTTCTTTGTCGTCTTCTTCTTTTCGTTTCTTTTTTTTTGGCATCAAATGATAGGTTATAAGCGTTTTTCTTTTTTTCAAAACTCTTCCTAACTAATTAAAGATTCAGATGTTAATTTTAACCAATTAAATCCCCTTGGGACTTCTTTTCTCTTTTCTTTCTTATAAAAGCATATGCTAAACGGTTGAGAAAGAAAAAGATAAAAAAAAAGTTGGGTAAGGTAAATGTGTAGTCACCTATTTTTATCATAATTTTTAATTTAACCATTTTTATTTTTAATTTGTAAATTTAATTACTGATCGCCTTTCTTTTCACTTTCAATTGAGTCATTTTTTTGCTATCTTCATCATTAACTCTCACTATGTATAATTGAGATACTCAACTACTTCTTGGAATTATCTCTCTTTTTGAATATTTTTATATTTATAATTATATTGTAAACAACTCCATAAAATTTTAAAATTATAAAAAATGATATAAAATTAAGTGAAAATATGGGCATACAGGGTCATTACTCATCAAAATTGCAAGATAAATTACCTAAAAACAGATATACACAGAGTTTGGGGTTTGAAATAGTGTTTTAAAAATCGATTTGGAAGTTAAATTATTTTGACCTTAAAAGTTTTAATTTGATCTATTTAACCAGTTAAATCATTTAAATTGTCAATTTAATTTAATATGAATAAATAAATATTGTGCAGTATTTAATAATAAGTTTGTAATGGTTCTACTAATTTAATATGAATAAATAAATATTTTGTAGCATTTAATAATAAATTTGTAATGGTTTTATTAGTTTGCTATCTTGTTTGGTGGGGATAAAGTGAAAATTTAATTAATATGTTTCTAACTTATAGTTATAATATATTAATAAGTTTTTATTACATGTTAAAAATATAATAAATATAATTTTT